GATTTCAACATCAGATCTACTTTTTTCAGATTTTTGCTTATTTTCAGCCTTTGAACCATCACCAATTTCTACACATTTGAAAGGGATACGATATCCTGTCTCACTGCATCGATATTTTTCATCACTCTGGAAACAAGTAGTGCTCTAATTAAATCCCTCAAATAATTAAAAAAAAAAAAAAAGGAGGAAGAAATAAGAGCCACAAAGATTACAGTGGGCTAAATACCAAACAAACAAAATAGCAAATGCATGGCAACATATTAAATTCACTGATTATTGTCTAAAGATTATAAGCAATATTAATATAGCCTTCACTGGCTGTAATGTGTGGAGGTGGCAATGTAATTGAAATATAACAGTTATTTTCTTCTTTTATTGCTTGGCTGGCTATCTTGAACAGATTTAAGTACTTTATCCAGAACTCAGTCATGGGAATTTCCTTACTTTCTACTACTTGAGTAACTCAGAAGTGGACAGCTGAAACCACTTGTTTTTCACTTGTAGCTACTCTAAAGCTGTGTGGAGCAGGGTGCGGCAAATATCAGGGATCCAAAGACCTTCGCGAGATTGGGATACTGAGCTTGCTTGGGCTATTTCTATGCTTAAAGGGAAGACTATCTCTTCTTTGCTGCTGCATCTGGCTTGAACCGCCTAATACCTATTATCTGTTATACTTGGAGGGAGAGGAATTCAAGAAAGTACACTTCCAAAACATTATCTCCAGATGCCACTTTTAATCAAATAGCCGCTGATATTCAAGCTGGATTTTAATTCTTTAACTATTTGTGTTACCAATTGTTTCCATGTGAAACTTTGTAGGAGATAAGGGATTGTTTCTGTGTAATCCTTGATACTGGTATTTAGGCTCCGCCTATATTGTACTCGAGTAGCAGGGTTCTCTCCTTATTTGGATGATGAAATAAAACTTCAATTATCCAAAGAAAAAAAAAACAGTTATTTTCAGATGTGACAAGGCAATACCCATAAAAAGTTGAAGAAGATCGCTAAATAGTAGCAGGATCACGAACTTGATTTAATCCATCTTTTCACATGAACCTAAAGGAAGAACATTAGAGATGGATAAGAACAATCTACTTGATTCACTCCTGTTACTAATTCGGCCAACACCATCTTAAATTGGAGATGTTTACCAACTTTTTTAGGAATTAAATTGTTCTAACCTCGAAAACAAAATTAATAATGTTGTAATTATAAAGTTAAAAAAAAAAAAAAAAAACCCTCTTCACCAGAAAACTGAACTGAACTTCATATATCTTGTTATATGTTTCTACTAATGCCAAAACTTATCCATTTATAAACTGATGCTAAAACCTTTAACAATTTAATTATCACATTAAAAAAATTAAAATCAATCAAAATAAGATCATAAAATAGGATTCCGAATGAAGACAAAAGGAAAGACCTTCTCAGAGTAAAGGCAAGGAACGCAAGGACCAGAAGGAGAGCAATCGAAAGTACGGTTACTTCCTTTTGGAGATTCTTTGAAGCTCATCAGAACCCTCTGCCCAACTCGTCCACTGAATTAATTCTCAAAATCGGGTTTAAAATTTAAATTAGATCAGATTCAAAATTGACATTCGATATGCATGGGAAAATAGTAATAGTAATAGTAATAATAAAGAAAGAGGATTTGCGAAATTACTGTTGGTAATCAATCGAAGAAGCTGAAGCTAAGGCGGGAAGGAAGAAAAGGAAGGAAAAGAGGAGCAGAACAAAAGGTGATGAATTCGAAGATCCCATTGCTTTCTCGTTTTCTTTTCTTGTTCAATTTCTGTTCGAATTTTCCCTTCCTCTTTTTCTTATTTCAGTTTTCTTCTTTTTCCCTCAAGACGCCGTTCACTTTACGTTATTACAAAACTACCCTGGTCGCGTTGTGAATTCTGATGTTACCATTTTACTACAACGGATCGTATTTGCACAGGCACTCGCAGCGAGGTTTTGCCCTTTTCGCTATGAAGGCTTTTTCTTTTTCTTTTTCCATCAAATAAGTAAGCTGATGACATGTTAGGAATAGAGATTTGGATTTATAAATAGGTAAAGTCTAATCATCATTTTATTTTTTATAATTAATTTTTTTTCAAGTAATTCATAAGCAAAATTATTATTTATTCAAAAAAGAGAAAAAAAAAAAACTTATAACAAGAACAAACTGCAAAGTACTTACTTAGAAAACAAACAATTATGACGAATTTGAATTTATTACCTAATGATGTGTTAATGAATTAATCAAAACACGCCATTAAGCTAAAAAATATCACGTTATTTTTTGGTGAAAGACTAGAACAAATAAATGGCACACTCTCCTTCATTAAATATTTTTAAAAAATTTAAAATTTTAAAAAATTATATTTTCAAAATAAAAAGTCAAGATTTTATAAAATAAATTTTATATTTAAAAAATTTAAAATTAATTTTTCTTTTTTAAAAAATTAAAAAAAAACTTTTAGCTCTTTTCCTTTTTCTTTTTCTCCAAATTTTATACTTATTTTAAAATAAAAAATTCTAAAATAATATTTTATCATTTGAAAAATTAAAAAAATAAAAATTTTTATAAGCCCTTTTTATTTTAATAAATAAAAATATAATTTTTAAAAAAATTATGTTACTCATCCTTTAAATACTTGATACCCAAACCCATTTATAAATAAATATGTATAAAATATATTATATGCTTTTAAAAAGGACTGAACCTTGACCATACTCTTAAACAACCATTAATCTTGTCAATTTAACCAAATTCATTTTTTAATATTATAAGAAAATGAATCATATTTATTTTTTTACTTAATTAAAGATATATATTATTTTATTTGTATCTCTAATCCTAAACGAGTATTTAATGGGATCGGATATTTAACAAATAGTGTTAATAATTTAGGATATGAGTTCACATAGTATTTTTAAATTTTATTTATATAATTATAAAATTTGGATACCTTATAATTTAATAGGGTTCAATCCGATTCGGGCACTAAGAGGGTGCATAAAGAGAGAGAAAAGAGGGAAGAGATGAGAAATAAGGAACCAAAGAGAGAAAGAAAAATGTTTAAGTCAAAAATTTATTTTTTAATTATTAAAAAAGAGATAAAACTTAAACTTTTTAACAATTATAACATGTGTCCACCATATGTCAATTCTAATCAACTCACAAAGTGACGTGGCATTTATTCACATGATGCGGTTTGATTGATTCATTAACATAAAATACATATAATATATATATTAACGGTGTTAATTAAATGTTGGGACATAAATAAAAGTTTGAGTAACACATTCAACATGTTTTAGTATGAATACCAAATTAGATAGCCAATTGCATGAACCTATAAATTAACACAAAAAAAAGGTCAACATTTTGATGTGATATTAAGGCTCACATTATAAACATGGGCAGTTCGGTGCATAACGTTTGTGAAGGGTCCTTTCAGTTCTTCGGCCCAGAACCGAGAAAAGAAAGACTCTGTCAGCCATATTTCTTCTGTCCATTCATCGCATTTCAACGCTGGGTACCAAGAAAGGGTATGTTCTATCCTTTAACAATGTTAACGATCCCATTAAAACAAGTTTCTTCTTAGTTTCTTGTCTGTTCATCGCCTAAAAAGTTTGATAATCGATGTTTGATTCGTTTAAACAAGCAGCAGGCTCAAGTATTAAGGGCTTGTGTTGTAGTGTAGTGAATATCAACGAGTGCAGGAGCTACGAGACCTCTTATCCTGGATCGTAGTGAAGCCGCTGATTGGTTTTTCCTCTTCCTACGCAGCGTAGCCTGAACTGCACTCTTCTCACTTCTCACCCTTTTCCAAACTTTAGTTTCAGGTTTCAAGAGATGGAGAAGAAGATCCAGAAAGTGTGAGAGTTCCAGGGCCGGGCCCCGTGATCAAGCAATTACTTGCTGCAGCAGGAGCATGGAGTACTTTTTGTCAGAGATAACATACCGGTAAAAGCTAGCACTCAATTAGATTGATTGCGTTCACGCAGATGGTGAGACCTTAAAAAAGTTGCCATCTGAATTTTGAAAATTTCAAAACTGGAAAGAACACGTAATCTCCAAGGAGGTCCAGGGCAGGCAGTGGGGTCTGGGGCACGTGCTCTTGTGTTCCAAGGACACAAGCTCTGCTCCAAAAGTCAGACACACAAAGACCATATATGAAAGATTAGCACTTGACATAGCTTAACCCCACATGCCCGGTTGGGTTCAAGAAAGCACCATTTCATGGTCCCAACCAAAAAGATGAACACACTATGATAAAGGACATAATGTTGACCATCCCATCTCTTCCTCTGTTTCCAGGATTGTAGTTAATATATCACGGGAACGCTGTGAGTTGGCTGCGTTCTTCATGTAACTTTCCAACGGAATCTTGAGTGAATGAACTGATCAGGATTTTAATGCAAACGCACATTGGAAAGAGGAAAACAGAAAAATGGAGGTCAAGTTTACAGGGAATTCGTCAATCTATTCTGCAATGAATGCGTAGGACCTGGATATCCATTGAATACTGACCTTGATAGGGCGCCTTCTCAAGGCTGCACAGCTGACAAGGCATTCTTGAGACAGAAAGTTGGGACAGCAAATAAAGATTTTATGAGATATTGTGGACTAAAAAATTGCGCTGCTGGTACATAGGAGAATTATTCGAGGTTTGATTTCAAAGATGAAGACTTTTGACGCATTATGGATATATGGTGCAGTGCATCATAAAATCACTTGTCCAAGTTAGATTCTTGAGTGATGAGTTGCAACTGATAAAAAAACACAGAAAGCAATTTCAGCAACTTGGGAGCCAGCAAAAAAGAGCAAAAACAGAAAACGGGGGCCATATCAATGCAATAAATTAGCATCGCAGAAAGAACTGATGATCAGATTTCTTTTCAGCGACATTAACCTGCCATTATCTTTCTGAGTTGCAGTAATCCTGCTATGGATACCTAAGCTTTCAAAATGGGGTGAATTCAAAAGCAGAATTAAGCATTATGAGGATAATAAAGAAAAACTTCAACTGCATTGAAGCTAGTGACTAGAGTGCATAATGCTTCATGTAATTTACAGAATTATCCAACAAATTAGCACTAGAACAGGGAATCCTGTTCCAAGTGGAAATGATACCAATTGCTGGAAATGCCTTAAAAAGAACATAGCATACACAACGCAGATATGTCCAATTGCTGCAACTCTCAAAGAAAATAAACAAGCGTTTTTTGCACTTCTTATCCCATCCCCCCCACCAGGGTTACTCCTTGTGATCATGATCTTGTCCCCCAAAGATCAACGGAAATTCATCATAATGTTCAAAGAAACCATGTTTCTCAGCCACGCTCTTCAACGATTCATAAACCTGGTACATAGAAGGTCTGTCCTTTGGCCTGGGAACCACACAAGTGCAAGCAACTCTCAGAAACTGCATAATTTCATCATCATGACCATTCCCACACAATGCTTTATCAACAGCATCCTTGCTTCGACCTGTGCTAAACAACTGATTAACCCAATCCACCAAATTCCCTTTAAATCCTTCCTCCGCAGAGCTAACCCCAATGGGTTTTTGACCCGTAACCAACTCCAACAACACAACCCCAAAACTGTAAACATCCCCTTTCAAAGAAGCAACCATAGTACTAGAATACTCGGGAGCCACATAGCCAAACTCCCCTAAATCCCCGTTCACAAACGAACTATCATTGGAATCACGAGACCCCATCAATCTTGCCAACCCAAAATCCGTTATTCGAGCATCCAAATCATCATCAAGAAGCACAACATTGGAACTAAAATACCGATGCATGTACGGCGGCTGGCATCCATGGTGAAGCCAAGCTAAGCCTCTAGCCATACCAACACCAATCTTAAGCCTAGTTGGCCAATCCAAAACCTCAAACTTCCCATTCCCAAAACCAACCAGGCTTCCCCCATGCAACTGAGAGTACAATGTCCCGTTCGGCATATGCTTATAAACCAAAAGCCTCTCTTCCTCCACCACACAAAACCCTAGAAGCGGAACCAAATTCGGATGCCTAAGTTGTCCTAACCTGTTCATTTCCGATCTAAACTGTTTCTCACTAAGCTTACATGCGCTTAGCCTCTTAATCGCCAAGGCAGATCCGTCCGGCAACATCGCCTTGTACGAAACTCCTGTCCTCGTCGAAATGACCGCGTTTTCCGCATCGAAATTGTTCGTCGCCACCATTAAATCCGCCAATTTAATCTTATTTATAGGCTTTTGAAATAACGAAACTTGAACAAGCTTGTGAGATTTCAACAATTCAATCCAACTACTATCATCTTTACCATCAATGCCGTAACTTTTCTTTCTTTTTTCACCTGCGGCGCCAGCTCGGAGAAAGAACCACCACCAAATCGCGAAACCGACGATTAACGAAACGGCGGCGCCGATGACACCCGCTATTATGATGATTCCAAGACTTTTACCGCTCAATCCACCGCATTTCGATAACGGTTTCCCACAAAGTCCACTGTTACCGTCAAAACCGTCTTCCCCAAATCGCGCCAGATCAGACGGGATCGAGCCAGACAATTCGTTGTCCGCCACGGAAAACCGTTTAAGCCGGTCCAACCGAGCGAGCTCGTAAGGGATCGAACCAGACAATTTGTTATTGTCTAAAACGAGGTCGTTTAGGAACTTACAGTTAACGATCTGAGTGGGGATGGAACCGGAGAGACTGTTACCGGAGAGATCGAGGCGTACGAGGTAAGGAAGCCAAGAGCAGATATCATTAGGAATGGGACCGGACAGAGAGTTGTTGGAAAGATCCAGAATCTGGAGGCTCCGACAGTACTTTAAAGAGTCCGGTAACTGACCCGACAGCTTCATAGAAGAGAGCAGGAGGCTTATGATTCGGTTTTCCTTCTCGTTCCAGCATGAAACGCCGGTCAGATTGCAAACGAATGTTGACGAACGGTTGTTGAAGGTCCACGTGGCTAGAGGGGAGTCCGGGTCGGTGAGAGAGCTTTTCAGGCCTTCGAGACAAGTGATGTCATCTTCAATGGCGAACGAGAGGAAGAAATTAAAGAGTAAAAGTGAGCAAGATACAAAAATGAGATTCTCCTTCATGGCTGAGCTGCGGCGCGTTTGGATACTTGGCGGTAGAGAGAGAGAGAGATAGGGTTTGGGTTTTGTTTTTGTTCTTGAGAGGGAGGGCGGGGTGGCGGTTAGAAGAGGAAAGGAAATGGAGGAGGGAGATGAGGAAAATGGGCAGCTGCCATTTGACTGTTTGGGGCCAGAGAAGAGAAAGAGAGAGAAAAGGAGTTGCTTAGCTTAGCTCAGCTGCTTCTCTTTTAGCTTTTTTGACTGCCAGTTGATTATTTTTCATA